TGGGACTGGCTCGATGCCCTTTGGGGCTCAGCAGCTCTGATGTGGGGCTCAGCAGGGCTCAGGTGCCCCCTACTCTCCCTCCCCTCCCACACAGGCACAAGGCGGTGCTGGAGAAATGGATTTTAATGGGAAAATAAGAAAAAAAGGCTCATTAAGTCTACCAGCAAGGGCTGCACCCGCTGTGTTGCTTGGGCAAGGTTCTCAGCCCCTACTTTGTCCCCCTCATTTCTGCACCAGCAGGCTGGGATGGTTCCACGTCCATCCCCAAATCAGCCCACCACCCGTAGGGCTCCATCTCAATCGTGCTGATGTCTTCAAAGCTCTGGATGACTTTGGCTTTCTCGAGGACACTGTAGTCGCAGGTGAGCAGCTCCTCGGGCAGTGAGAGCGAGGTGAAGTCGTAGAGGGGGATGTCTGTGCCTGTGCCACCAGGGTCCTCAGGCATGGGACTGCTGCTGGGACCCTCTCGGCTGACCCCCTCATTGTCCTCATAGCAACTGAAGAACCTCAGGGCCTCCTCAAGAGGCACCTCCTCATAATGTACAAGGCTGTCTTTCAGGTCTCCAAGGCCTTGGTTGTGGGGGTCAGCAGATGGGCTTGGAGGGACATCACTTCCTGGGGGGATGTTAATTCCCAGGGTTGTCCCCACAGAGGTTGCTGCACTGGGGATGTCGGGCTCTGCAGACACCCCCTTGATGTTCTTGTTGCTGGGGATGGAACTCAGCAAGTCTGGGGCATCTGTTCTACCCTTTCCAATGGTGTCACCATGATCCTCAGGCATGGCGATGCTCCCGGGACCATCCTGGATGACCCCTTCCATGTCCTCAGACATACCAAAGAGCCTTAGAGCCTCTTTGAGGAGCATTTCCTCCGTGACTTCAATGTCCCCACCTGGCTCCCCAAAGCCTGGATTCTGGTGGTCAACAGAGGGGCTGGGAGGGATGTTGCTTCCCTGGGGGATATTTGTGTCTGGAGGTGTCCCTGTGGACATGGCCATTCTGGAGATGTTGATGCCAGCAGACACCCCCTCAATGTTCTCATAGCCAGGGATGGAATTTGGCAATTCTGGGGCAGCTGGGACTAGTGTTTTCTCCTTTCCAATGGTGACACCAGGGTCCTCAGTCATGGTGACGCTGCTGGGAGCGTCCTGGATGACCCCCTCCATGTCCTCGGACATACCAAAGAGCCTTAGAGCCTCTTTGAGGAGCATCTCCTCAGTGACTTCGATGTCCCCATCTGGCTCCCCAAGGCCTTGATTCTGGTGGTCAACAGAGGGGTTGAGGAGGACGTTGCTGCCTGGGGGGACGTTGTTACCAGGGGCTATCCCCATGGAGGTGGCCACGCTGGAGATGTTGGTCCCTGCAGGCATGTCCTCCATGTGCTGGTTCACGGAGCTGGGTGCTGGCAGCACCGGGGCTGCTGGGGCCCCTGCTCCTCTCCCCCGGTGCTTATGGGGCTCAAGGTGTTGCTCTGGGGTCCCGGCGGCTGCGCAGGCTGGGAGGGTCCTGCAGCCCCCGGGGCCCAACAGGGCAGCACCTGGCTGAGCAGTGGCACCATAGCCCAGCGTGGAGGTGTCTGCTGGAGGCAGGTTGGGGCTGGTCCACTGCACAGAGAAGAGCTGGGGGTTGAAGAAGCATCCACATGGAGCCCTCTGCAGCCCTGTGAGGGG